GGGGTCTCACCACCCGGTGGACTCTGCGGCCGCAGACAGCGGAGCTCGTGCCCTGAGCAGACCCGGGCTGTGCCAGAGACGGTGGCCGGGAAACGGGGGGCTGGTTCCCGGGTCCTCGGTGTGCCGTGAGCTCCCGCAGAGCATGTCCGTGTCCCGAGGCTGTTTCTCGTCCCTCCTGGGCTTCTCTTTGCCGCTGCTCTTCCCTGCATACCTGTCGAGCCCCATCTGTCTCCTCGTTGTTTGGCTGAAAACCAGTTTCTTTCCTCTTGAAAGTCACAGTTGACGCTTCAGTCACGGATGTCGCGTGTCGCCCATAGTGCACAGACCACCATGTTCCATCTCCTCACCTGGGGTGCCGCTGGTGCCCAGTGTCCTGCTACCCACGACATCCCAGAGGCCAGTGGCTCGCCTGGAGGTGTCGTGTGTCCTCACCGGTGTCCAGCCGCAGCCCGCTGCAGGTGCCGGTGAGAGGCTGTGGGTCCTCTGAGGCCCCAGAGCCGGGCCCGCCTTCCTGAGGTCACTGGCCTCTCGGCCTCCCGGTCTGCTGCTGGCTCTGTCCCTGTGGTTCCTCAAACCAACCCTGGGCCGCTCAGGTCTCTCCGCTGTTTCCTCGCGGACGGTCGCCCGCGGCCTCTGCGCCTGCTGGACGCGCCTCTCCGCTGGGCCGTGCGAGCCGCGAGGTCTCTGGCTCGAAGCCTGGATGCCGGCGGTGCCTCTCTCGCCTCAGCATGGCTGTGGGTGATTGTGGCCACATCCCGCCCCCCTTTGGGTGCTGACTGAAAGGTTCCGGGAAATGGAGGGTGAGAATCTCCGCCTCTGCCCTGTTCACGGTGGACTCTGTTGGGCGCTTGTGTCCACCCTGAGGCGAGACGGGAGCCGTCATGGCCCTGCGTTAGGTCTCCCCGTCACTGACGGAGCCGCAGGGCGTTGTCAGGCCATTCAGGGCCCCTGACAAACTCCTCCTAACAGGGCCTTTATTTTCCTCATGCACCCCTGGAAAGTTTGCTTGTTCCAGGTGCTTGAGCGATTCCAGAGTGCTGCTGAGACCTGAGCTCCTCTGAGGTGTCTGTAAGTGTCTCTGCGCTGGACCGTCGCTGGGGGTGCAGCAAGTGACGCCCCAGCACCGTGACGCCCTCAGCAGCCCCTGAGCAGGAGCTAGTCCCCCGACAGGGCGTGGCCCAGGGCGCAGCTGACCTCTCCTGTCTCCCTGAGTGCCCTCAGCAGCGTGATTGCTAAGATGGCTCCTTCTGCTCCCCGCTCTGTCTCTGGTGTCTCCACTCAACCAGCCACCACAGGCCTGTACCCCAGTTCTTATATTCAGAAATAAATACATGTTTAAAAAAGAGTTACATCTATTCTGTAAAATGACCTCACACATTTCAATCTTCGCTCGACTCTTTCCCACTCTCAGCTGGCACGGAGTTTGCTCTCCTTTCCCAACACAGACAAAGCGCTGGAGGTGACGTCAAGTGACGCCCGATCAGGAACTGTCCCCCGTACCCGAGACCACGGGCCACGACCATGTACAGAGACTCAGGTGAGATCCTCTGCTGATGTCCAGGGCCGAGGACCTGCCAGCCTGCGCCTCCCTCACGCTGACCCATCTGTGCCCTGGGCACCCTCCCTCCGTCCAGAGCTGCCTCTGGGAGTCCCCAGCGCTGTCTCTCCTCTGTCCACCTGGTCCTCAATCCCCAGGACTCCTGTGGTCGGGACACACCTCAGCAGTCAGGGTCACACTGGTTGGACTCAGGTCTGCACAGCCCGTCTGGGGTGAAGGGGCAGTCAAGCTGGGCCCCGGTCAGGACTGATCGAGGCTGTGTCCATCCCCTGGCTGAGGACAGGGCGGCCAGGCAGGGAGGGGTTTGTGTCTCACTTCCCCATCAGCGTGTGTCACTGTGGTATCACTACTGCTGTCATATGACTGACAGTGGTAGACAGCCTCGTCCTCGGCCTGGGCCCCGCTGATGGTCAGGGTGGCCGTTTTCCCCGATTTGGCGCCAGAGAACCGCTCAGGGATCCCCGAGGGCCGCTCCTTATCGTTGTAGATGACCAGCACAGGGGCCTGGGCCGGCTGCTGCTGGTACCAGTGAGCATAGTAACTACCAAGATTGTCGCCCTGACAGGTGATTGTGACGGTTCCTCCCAGGTCCACTGACGCAGACAGTGGCTGGGTCAGCTCATAGGAGACCACAGAACCTGTGAGAGAGTAGAAGACAGGTGGACAGGAGATGAGGGCCCGGCGCGAACGACCCCTGCACTGTCTTCCGCACCACTAAGCCTCTGCTGTCACACCCAGGCCCCAGGGCCTAGTGGCAGCGTCCAGCCAGTGACCACAGACTGGCAGAGACTAGGAGCCTCTGACCACCCCTCTCTCCCCTTGTGAGGCGCAGCTGCGGGCGCCTCACACGGAGAGGGGAGCCAGTGGGGTCTCCCTCACCACCACCTCCCAGCAGACTCGTGAGACCCCACAG